CCGCATAAGAACTTTATTGTATGATTGGTCCAAAGTTTGTGGGAGTGTTTGTAATGCTGAAAGTGCTCGGACGCTGCATTTTGCTTCAACCATTTAAAAAACAAACCTACTTGCTTCCAGAAGAAGACTGTTGTAGGCTACCAGGAAGCAGACATTTATTAAGACAGTCAAATGGCCAAAAACTCATGGATGGAGATAAAATAGACAATGTGCACRGAGGAATCTGTCTGGTAAAAACTGTGGAGCTTTAACTGCGACAGATTTTTGGACCAATAACGTTTGTTTTCCACATTGCAGACTCGAGGTAGAAKGAAACCCCACTTATTGACATATGCCGCCGCGGGAGGGTTTTCCCAGTAGCTCGACAAGGTGTGTCTCATCAGCAAACAAAAAGTGTATGTAACTCAATAAAATGTAACAATATTGGTCAATGTACCATCCCTTTGGTCTGCAGCGCTCTCACCTGAGGCTTCGGGAGCGAGGGCGGACRTGTGGCGAACGTCTCCCCCCATCATCGTCTGTGATGCTCTCTGTGCTGCCGAAGTGCTTGGACAGGAAATGCAACTCATCCATGGTTGGCTGAAAGGGCAGCTGGTGCAGACGCTCCTGAGACGAGCTGGACGACTGGAGGGAGAGATCAGAGACGAACAAGAAAACGGAGTGAAAGGTTAACAAGTGACCCGCTCTCTTTGATTTTCTTTATAAAGCGTCTGTCGGAGCAGCAACATCAATAGTTTAAAAATAGAAACTGAGTAATAACAGAAAGAAGATCAAAAAGAGACGAGCATGAGGTGTGGAATGATGTGAGTGGGTTGAAAGTACCAAATCAAAGAGTTAACAAAAAAAAAGGAAAGGGAAAGGTAGAGAAAATACCCCAAAGGGACGTGTCCAGGAGCACAAAAATAAATAAATAAAAGTGGACTGAAAAAGAGTAAAAAGACTGCAGGGCATTTAAAAGGTAACTTCAAGTAAAAGTTGACTGCTGCTTTAAGTGTTTGATGTCTCGAGGGGGTTGATGGCAGCACTGTTTGGTCTCGAACAAAAGAGTTTTCTTCAGCTCAGGAGTGGAAAAATGGCCTGGATCAATGTGAGGCTTAATGATCACGTCTCCCATTGGGACATCACCATTGGCTGTGGCCACACAATCATTTCTGCTATAAAAATCCATTAGACACTTTGAATCAGGTCTGAGCCACTTGCAGACTGCAGGGCAGGATCAGACGATGATGATGTGGCGAGAAAACAACAATAAATCTATATGAGCACAAAGATATTTTGAGTAAAGAGTCATTGGATRTGACTGATGTTCTGAATGAAAAGCGTTTTCTAAAGTATAAAGAGTATTTCTTAGATTTATAGTTTATTTTTACACAGGCACATATGGTTCTTATCAGTCAGATTCAACACTGAGAGCATTTTAATATAGCTGGAAGGACTGCATTTTCTGCAAAAAATACAACATGAATACTGAGTGCTGAATGACACTGCTGAAGCTAAAACTAATCTGCAAAAGCTAAACGAGGCAAAACGCTGGCTAAATCTAAAATACAAACTAGCTAAAAGTCAAATGAGGAAAAGGTTAGCTAAACGCTAAATGTAGCAAAATGAAAGCTAAAACTTAATGAAATAGAAAACAAACAAAAATTACAAAAAGGAAAGCTTTTTTTTTACAAGTTCAGCTAAAACACACGTATCAAAAAGATAAAGAAGTGCTAACTAAAACCTAAAAGCAGCAAAAGGATTGCTAAATACTGGTTGTTGCAAAAGGCCAGTTCAAACCTAAACATAGCAGAATAAAAGTAGCATTGGATCTTTGGTGAGGCAGATTTTAAAGAGAATAATATTTTTGTGTTTTTATGAGTAAAATGTGTTTTATGTCTAGTTAAAGGAGGAAAGCAGGAAAACAATAATGTGAAYGATAAACCAGTATTTACACAAAGACATGAGACAAGCTGATCAAATCAATGAAAGGTGAATATATCAACACTGATCCACATGATTTTCTGCTGAGAAACTTTGCTTCTTATTATTAATCAAGTAGATGTTGTTTGTCTCGATACCCAACAACAGACGGCTGCAGATCTAAACCATCCCTATGGTAACGGCAMTTGAAGACAGAAGCTGCCTCCTCCCAGCAGGACGATGCCCTTTGTTGTTTTACAAGAACTGCTCAGAAAGAACCCAAAYTCTCCTGATAAGAGCGTCTGAGAGATGGCTTCACCACAGGATCCCAGAGGACCCGAGTAAASCCCGGGAAAACTTGTTTTCTTCTAACAACTAGAATCTGCTTTAAAATCACAATGAAACAAAAGTAAAACTTCATCACTTCATCATCTACACATGTCATGACTGCATCACTGCATGATGAAAAGTGGGTGCAAGAAGATATTTTTGAAACTTCATATTCTTCAGGAAACAAAGTTCTCTACCTACAGATACCAGAATTTTAAACAAGAAAATCCCATCAAAATTATTAGCTTCTATCAATTTTCAGGGTGTGCACTTACATTTGGTTTACTTCATTCTTTATAAATAGGATATTTTTTGTACTCTATCAAGAAGTATTTATGGTTTTTACTTTGGAGGATCTACTAAAAGTAAATTTTACACAGATTTTCATTGAAGAGAGTCAGTTGAGATGGTTTAGACGTATGATTAAAGCCTCTTAGATTCCTCCCTATATAAGTGTTTTGGGCTCGTCACACTGGTAAGAGGCCCTGAGGAAGACCCGGGACTCTCTGACCTGGAAACACTTCGGGGTCCCCAAGGACAAGCTGGAAAGTATCGCTGGGAAGAGGGGTCTCTAGGTTTCTCTCCTGGACCTGTTGCCTCCGTGACCCGACCAAGGATAAACGTAGAAGATGGAGATGGAGGCATCATGTCAGAATTATGTTGGTCTGAGTATAAAAACTGCCAAGCTGCTACAGTATATTCCACATTTTTTTAATCTTTGAAGGTTTTTTTCCTTCAGTTTTCACCTCTGCTCCCTCTCAGATTTTGTTTACACTTCACACAGACCCTGCAGCTTTCTGCTTAACTTGAACTTTATCTTTTTCTTTAAACACACACACACACACTTCTCACTTCGACTTTTATTCAGCATGCAAGCACCTCACCATAACTAATCAAGCGAGTAATGTAAGAACCAGCAGAGCAGTAAAATCTGATGGGATGAAGGGAGAGGGAGGTGTGTTGGAGATGAAGACGAGTATGGAAAGACACAGCAGCCACCTTCAATCTCATCTCGCCGCTAAATAAAGAGATCAATGATTTTCCCACCATTTGTGCAGCTGAGTGTGTGTGTGTGTGGGGGGGGGTGTCCAGAAGAGGTGGTCGATGAAAAGAGATAATAGGTGAAAAGCAGGAAAAATGCAGAGGAGTGGATTTAGCTCAAGAAAGAAAAACAAAGAAAATGTGCAGAGAGTGGAATGTGAGCTGACACTACTACCTGAGCATCACGCGCATCAAGGTCCATTTCCCAAATGGACATTTTACCAAATGGACCCGAGCGGTGCTCGTTTCTCAGGGAAGGCTCTTATGCTCCAAACAATTTACTTTCAGACAAAAGTGAACATTGTTATTGCCTCTGTGTTTGCTTCAGTTCACATTTCATCGCTATCACTGCTCTCTTTCGTTTGTCTCAGTTGGGCCTTTACATCAATCCTTCTCTGTCTCTCCAGAGGTTTAGTTATGGATGCAGAAGYAGCATAGCAGGAATAAAAATATTACATTTCTTTTCAATTATCTCTGCTGCACWTTTTTCTCCCCCAAAAGCCGAAGCTATGAGTTGCAGATAAATCAGGTCGACCATATCTTAGCAACTGATTAGTTATTTTTAGTTCAGATTTTTTTTACATGTGATGCATGTTCTTGCAAGTCAAATGCTTTTAAATAATTGCCCGAGACTCACGAGTACAAACTCAAGGAATAGAAGTGTGTTTGTGTAGGAATGATATTTAGTTCAGCTTGTAATCACTTCAAAGCAAAAAACGAATTCATCTGYGATGCCGCTGATTTATACATGAAAATGTATGCAAATAAATTCTTTGAATTTCATCCACATTCATAAAAATRATAAAAAGGCTATAAGAGAAAAATCTCAGACCTCTGTGCAGATTTCAGAAGCAGCAAATTGAATGAATAAAACAAATAAAACAACACATAGTCCTCTTTCTTTCATGTTATTCTTCCTGGTTTTATTTTTTATATATAATAAAACTGAAGATGAAAGCATTCGATCTTTGTGCTTTTTCACTTTCACACTGTGGTGAAGGAGGAGAAATCATTTGGCGTGGGGTTTGATAGCTGCAAGTTTTGTGTTACAAGGACACACTTTGTCAGCTGAAACTTAGATCTGAGGAAGGATCGAGCTCAGAGGTTTGCTGCAACGAGAGTACAAAACAACTAAGTAAAGCAGCTGTGTTGTAACCTCTGTAAGAAATTATATATTTATATAAACTGTGTGCAAATGTTTTTCTATAATTTGAAGAAAGGTGTCATTAGCTATGTTTATTCCATTTGGCTGTTTATTCTGACTACTTATGTCCATGTAAACATGTTAAACTGGAGCACTCATCTTTAGAACATAATAATTAATAGTTTCACCTGTACAGCTCATTTTGACTTAAAGAGGTTAACTAGCTGTGACTGTTTTCTCATTACACTAAAATAGAAATTCCACCACCATCACTTCCTGTCAGTTCTGATACATTTTTTCTCCTTTTATTCCTCTCCTCCCCGAGGCCTCCTATAAACTCAGCTGCCTCCTCCAAGTGATTGATGCAGGGCACGGTCCAGCAAGCTCACCTGATTTGAGTCAGTTCCAACTCTGAATAATGAAGAGATTTTCTGTTTAAGTTTTTAGGAAGACATCGACATACCAGATTTTTTTTTCTTTTTTACTGAGCTGGTTCTGCATTATCACTTTGGTCAATGTATGAAGTAAATTAGGTCAGCTGACATGTTTCACAGCTGATGCAGGTCAGTGAGTAGCTTATTCTAAAAATCTGCTATTTTACAATTTTCCAATCTTTTTGAAGCACTGAGCATTTGGATGCTGATTCTCCCATGCACACAGACACTAACACCACCTAGAAGACAACAAGCTAATAACATTTGGATCTAAAAAAAATAATAATAAAATTCAGCTTTTTAAATGTTTTCTGAAGAATAAAAAAGTAAGACATTTGTTGAATCTGTCAAGATGCAACTCATCACATGAGACACTGTATTAGGAGGAAGAAACTTTCCCTAAACAAGATAAAGAAGCATGCTCAATATAAACCTGAGAATCAGAGGTTTATAGTAACTAAATACATTTACTGTGTTACAGTACTTCAGTACATTTTTTGAGAGTTTGAAATTTTTAAATCGTTACTTTTAATTTTATTTCGCTACATTTAAACCCTATAAATGATACTTTACTTTAACATTTGACACCTGTTACTTGTTGCAAAAATAAATAAGTCTGAACTTGTGAAAGGAGGGGTTTATGTGCTCTAAAAAAGGAAGTGTTGAATTTACTCAACCAAGTCATGTCAACTGGGTCAACTAAACCTAGTAGAGTAAATATGAGGCAATATACATGTTTTCTCCACTTGGTTTAGTGGGACCAGTTTGATTAACCCCTTAACAGCCCCTGAAAGTCCTCAAGTGCCTGTGACAWGCATTTCCATGAAATACAAAAAGTCAAAGCAAATATATTTACATTTAAGAAACTTGACATAATACACATGATTTTTCCTCTTATGTCCAATAATTGACATATTTTCTTTTGAATTTGACTGAGTTAAAGTGAAACAGGAAGTGGCATCAAAGGGGAACTCTTTGAGAAATTAAACTCCCTAGTCTTTGTTTATTTACACATTATTATTTGAACTTTTGACTCTTTCTCATCTCTCTATGATAGTGAATAAAATAATCTAAAGAAACATCAGATTCTTCTCTACAGTGCGAGTTGTTAGCCATTTTAGCAATGGTCTGTTCATATTCCGACATTCCCTTTTGACATCACTTCCTGTTACTACACATACAAATATCTCAACAACTGTTCACCTCAGCGGCATGAAATCTTTTTAACAATGTGTTATCAATGTTATCTTTACAAAAATACATTCATAATTATTTTAAAAGTTTAATTTCACAGGCCTTTTGACATTTTTTGTAAGGGTGCCAAACCAAAGTAAGAACAAGAGGAAGTTGTCTGACACCCTAGCCTTCAAAATAAAAGCCYAGGGGAGCATCTGGAAACGTTTAAAGGCAGAAATCCCATCATTTTTGCTTACTGGTGGAACAAAGACTGTGAAGTAAATTCAACAATTTATTTCTTAGAGAGTGCGTAAAAGTACTTTTACTCGCACTTTTACTTTCCCGATTTTTGAGAACAATTTTATGACTTTTACTTATGTACTTTTCTCATTAGTGAAATTTATTTTTACCAAAGTCATTTTCTGTTGAGGTATTTTTACTTTTACTTAGTTATTGTTTTCAAGTACTTTATATACCTCTGTTGAGAATGATCATCTGTGTGGAGTTTTTCTTTGAATAAACCTACCGTTGAACTGGGTGTGGTGGTGCCATAGCCTGAAGACGGCAGCGAAGCCAAAGACCACCTGCGACCATCAGCCCTGAGAAAAGACATTAAAACCAACTGTGAGAAAAAAAACATTTGTTAGACACAGAGAGGGTGCAAACTGCAATTTCCTGTTACATCATGTTTCTATTTCAGTTTGAACGAACAACAAACGGTGGTTAGGGAAGAATAACCATCTGCACTTTTGTTTTTAGATTTTATTGCATTTTGGCTCCTTTCATTCCTGTCCTCCCCGAGGTCTCCTCCAACCATCCTAGAGTCTGACRCCTCTTCAAAGTGAGTAATGAGGGTCCTGGCACCTTGCCTGATTCAGACTGTGACAGCCTGCTGTCATGCCTCTGTCACACAGTCGTGGTGGGAGCAGGCCAGAACAAAGACAGGTTTCTTTTTGTGTCGGTGACTGAGTGTGCTTCCTGTTGAGTTTTCATGGGGCGTGAGTGCAAAAGTAATTCTATCAACAATTTCTCTYGATTAGTTTGAGCTGCTCCTAAACAGAGGCTATTTAATGACTTGTGCTTTAAAAAAAATAATGCCAACCTTCGAGAAGAGGCAAAGGAGAAGTGAGCGGGTCCACTTGGTGAGAAGTTACGCGGACTGTCCAACGGACTGCTTCCTAATGAAACAAGAGCAGAAATACTGTTGTTAACAAGACAATATCCAAGACAATACCCAACATCTGATTGTATTTCTGGGAACTATGATCAGAAAATCTGCCTTGTTGAAGAAGAAATGTTACGTTGGGGATCATTTTAGGCCAGATAAAATAAAATGACTGAACTCACAAACTAATTAACCCATTAACAGTGTCTATTCACCGTACACTTGAGTTCAGGACACCTACAGAATTTGATTCTCGGCTTGAATCCATCTGCTTGTTGCTCAATAAAGCCACATGTTGAGCAGTTTTAACATTTTATTTCAGTCTGGAGAACAAGCAGTTGTCTAAATCAAGACAGGTGTGAAGATAGACAAAAAAAAAAAAAAAAAACAAAAAAAAAAAAAGATTCAAAGGATTCAATCTGCTCAAGGGATGTTTCATGTTTAAAGAAAATGCGAAACCAAATCCTGCACAGATTGAAACCCTCTTCACACTGGATGACAACTCCACTCCGCTCTCCATGACCTGCTTGACCAATTAGAATACGCTTGTAAAAAAAGGTGCAATGACACCCTTGTATTGTTGCATACCTTGAGGCAATGCRTGCAGGAAAAATGGGAAAAGCCATACTAAAACCTGAAACACCTCAAAATGTTATCCTCAGTGTCAGAATGTCTAACAAGTACTGTGTGAAGTGCTGAAAGCTTTAACTTTTTCAGAATGTGTCCAAAGATGAGTAAAAACAAATAACAAATAAAGTTAAACTTCAAATTTCAGATTTTACATCAACGTGACACCAAGATTTTACTGTATGGTTGTTAGAGATGCACAATATATGTGAGCATCACCACCACAATGTATGTGTGTGCAATAGTCACATTGTAGGTCTTGCGATGTAGTATTGTGTTATCTAGCGACAAAACTGCTAAATCTTGCAGTTGTTATGGCTTTTATTTTGACAGGTTGCTTCTGCCAGCAGAAGTAGGCAGCTTTGTGTCAAAAAAGTTAAAATTTTAATTTTGTTATGAAACTTCAGGGACAATAATGGTTACGTTTTTCAGAGCTGTGGAGGCAGACGACGAGGATCTTGACTAAAACAAGGAGGATGAGCAAATATGCAGATACTGTGCAGCCCTAGAGGTTGGTTTAAAGATTGATATATATTTTATATTTGCTTTGAGTCTGATGCCTCTGGTAAACTTGACATTTAGACCATGGAAGTGAGCATCTGATTGCAATTTAAACCAGAGACTATTGCTGTTTAATGCTCACCTATGTGTCCAGGCAGGGGGGAGTGTGGCCTCGGCAGGGTGGGAGATGTACTGGTCAGGATGAGGCTTTTCCGGTTACTGGTTCTGCAACTAGAGAGAGAAAAACAAACAATCAGAGATTTATCTTCATGAAAATCAATCAACAGCTGACAGACGAAAACTGACATTGATGATGCTGGGATCTCCCAGTCGATATAGTCTTTGCTAGAACATGCCCTTTTCTGTCAACCCGATTAAATATTGAGTCAATTATGTGTCAGTGTAAGAACGTGTGTTGTCTATTTTGAGCACGGTGCATCTTTGTCGGTGCATGCTACATGACTCTATTGACATCTAAACAACCAGAGAGGGGGAGAAAAAAACAAAGATTTTTATGTCTTCAAGGTCCGTCCCCTCGACAGCTGCTGCTATGGAAAATAATGACAGGAGAGACGGAGGGAAGACAGAGTGGAGGAAAAGAGGCCAGGAAAGACAGGTACACTGAAATGAAAAACTGTAATGATTGAACCATTAGGACTTCACATGCTGCTGCAGTCCCCACAGGATGTGTCATTGGACCCTTTCACAAGGGACAAGCGCGAGTTATTGTCTTACATAACAGCTCATAAAATGGGAAATGGATTGTTCAGGTGTTGTTTTCATGCACCGACTTGCACAGAGGCTTTTTATGCCTATCTATGTGGAAGTGTGCTTTGCAAGTGTGCCTAGAAGACCCAATTTAGCTGAGCAGAACTAACGAAAAACACCAAGTTTTCATCTCATTGCATCAGCTGTCATGCTGCTCTGAATCTGCAAGGGAAATACTGTAAATCACACAAACAGAGCAAACACGCAGAGAGAAAGAGAAGTGCAAACATACAGCCACACCGTTTATGTCCATTATTCAACCCCTGAATCTATATTCTACACCCCCGCCTTGAATTCCTCCAACATCCTGCCTGCCTTCTTTATCTCCGTGTCTGTTTGATGTCACTCTTCAATAAGAGTCTCTCGCGCTCAGAGACATCAAATCTCTGGAAGGAATTTATTGGCGGCAGCGTGCCGCTGCGGGCGCCAGAGCTCGTACTCAGCCTTGCAGAACCGAAGAGGAATATATTGAAATATTTAAGGGAAATGCATTAGGCTCTGGACAGGGAGGGTTGGAAGTGGCTTAACGCCGTCTGTCACTCCTGCTCCTTCAATAGGAACAGTGAGGAAAAGCAGAACGTGAAAGGTTATTTACCRCTTACAGTTATCTCACTTGTGTCACCCTGTCACTCGCCCTCTCCTGTAATTACACCCRTTCACCTGCTGAAATCGACAGTTTGTTTCGCCTCATGTTTTAAAGAATCTGCCTACCCTTCATCAATCAAACGCAGAGTCACTTACGCATGCTGCACAAGCTTGACTCCAGACTGTTTCTTCAGGCTTTGATTCATGATTCATCACATACTACAGCTGTTCTAAGCTGCGCTAAGCTTTCAGAGATGTAAGAAGTAGTAATGAATCATTCACTTTCAGGGTCTAATCACATATTAAAAGAGAAGGAGCTTTAATCCCAGCCTTGTTTAGATGATATTCCCCCCTCCCCTTATTTTATCTCAACAAATGACTTCATCTTCTGATAACTCATCACTCATTCTGTTCTACCACTGAACATCATTTCCTGCTCAGCTCTCATCCTCTTTTCTCCCCTTTCCAAACTGAACTCATGAAATGATGAATAATTGAAACGTATGAGAACATTATTCCTTCTGTAAGACCCTTTAAAGAGCACATGGTTGGATAGACAATTGAAGGCAGAAGCACAATGAAAGCTCCTAAGGGCAGTGCCATCTAATCTTCCCATAAAGGGAGAAGTTTTTTTTTTTTTTTGCTTTACAACATTGTTATCTTAAACGAGTTCTGCAAAAAGGGCATGTTGCCCACAGCGTTTGTACTGTAACAAAGGCTTAGCAGGAAGGCTGCTTTTTGTTCTGTCCTCCAGCTGCTGGTCATACCAGAAAAGGTCAAACTACAACTATGAGGAGCACAAAGTATGACAGACATGACGTAAAGATCTGCTTGAAACAGTAATTTTGAAAAACATCTTGACTTTTTCTTTACTCGTTGAGCAACTACAACAGGGTTCCTACAGTTTAAGGCAAGTTAAATTTAAGACTTTTTAAGGCCAAATGAAATCAAATTCAAGACCAATTTCCCAATAAACCCAAAAGACAAAAATAAAAAAATTAAAACAATTATTCAAATATTGTTAATAGACCAAATGTTTTTATCCATATCTAACTGCTATTTTGTCAAATATAACAAAAAAAAACTTTCTTAGAAGTCAGTTTTAAACTGTATTTAATTTCTGGAAATCCTCTAACAACCCAAAATTTGGAGTTTTATGACCCACAGTGGGTTCTCAACCCCCAGCTTGCTGTAGACGAAACCTTAAAATGCAAATGACATCAAATTTTTGTATAAAATACGAATGTATTTTTGGAAAGACAACATTATTAGCATATTAGAAAATGAATTTCACATTGCTCAGATGGACAGTTGTTGAGATATTTGCATGTGAAATAACAGGAAGTGGTGTCAAAACGGAACATCTGAATGGGATTATTTCAAAAATAAATAAATGTTTCCAATTATTTTAACATTTGATATAAATTAGTCATCCTACTTACAAGGTGTTAACATTTTTAAGACTTCTGAAGATTGATTTAAAACCTTTTAAGGCTAATTAAGGCCATAATTTTGGGTTGATGAATCAAGGCCTTTTAARACCTTTTAAGGATCCGTGGGAACCCTGTATAAAGAATGGACATGGGAAGGGATTTTCTCATTTTTGAAGTTTAGGTGGTCAWATTGGAAATATAAGTGTCTATTAATTTTATTTTTATAATGGTAGTGACACCTTGAGCTGTTTCCTGACAGAGATCCTCCAGTAGACATGCATTTTTTTACAKAATGACTATCAGCCCCTGCCAAAATAATAATAAAAAAAAAACAACTCCAAGTGTCCTCCATCATACTTTGTTTTGAAAGGATCATAAAGTGGAAACTATGGTCATGGGTGAGCTCAGCTTTACTACAAAAAAGCATGAGTCTTCCTCCGTTTTCATCATTGGACTGAAAAGAAAAGAAGAAATACAAAGATTCCCATGCAGCTAGCAGGATTATCAGCATCACGTCTTTATTTTAAAGTCTCTGTTTTATTAGAGGATTCAACTGCAGGATTTCAGGTAATTTTTATTTCACTGTGTGTGTGTGTGGACATGGTCATTCATCAGTAAAAACATGAAACAGATTGACTTGACTGAGAAAGGAGGGGAATCAGAGAAATGCTGAGGTACATGCATGATTTAAACTGCTGTCATCCTCATGCATCTGGTTAAGAAGCCACATTTGTTAGTAAAAGAGTGTGATGTCTGTTTGCATTTTGCTYTTATTTTTAATTTATTTAGCGATTACTGTTTTTTAACCTAAAAATTAAGCTTTGCTGAAAGCAAGACACCTTTCTCTAAATGATTCAAACCAGACTGGACCTGAATTCATCCAAAACAAGATGCTTTTGGTATTCAAATGTCCAAAGTGAGGAACGATGAAGAGCGAAGAACAAAAAGCGGCGAGCACGCGAGGAGGAATGTACAGTGTTACCATGGAAACACATTCAGAGTCACACTTATAAAAAGCAAACAGCGACATATCCAACTGTTCTCACCAAAGTGCGCAGAGAGAAGCAGACGACTGATGTTGAACACAGGAAATATTAATGACCATCAGGTTGAGCCCGAACCGACAGCAATGACGTCACCCCGCAGTGAAAGTGAACAGCTCCTGAGTGAACGCCCGAGTTCTAATCCATCATAATCCATGGCGTAATCCATCATGCCGGCTCAATCTGTGTGTGTGTCGAGGAGTAGTGGGGCGTGTGGAGCTGTCACTCAGACTGAGCAGGATTCRGTGGGGTCAGCAGTGCATGGAGCGCTGTGTGGGCGTCTGGTTATATACGGCAAAAGATTCAAAGGAAATAAATGTTTTACTGTTTGTTTTGCAGGTTTCAGAGGGTTAAAACATCCYGGTCATGTCAAGGAAATAGTCCCAGAATGCAAAACCATGACAGGACAGAAAAAACAAAACAAAACAACAAGAGAAGGAGTAGGCAGCAGCATGAGGAAACTCTGTAAGAATGCATCCCTGCAAGCTGTTCACTGCCAGCACACACTGTGCATCAGTGAGGAACATTTTCAGAGTGCTCAAATAATTTCACTGTAAATTTTACTCAGTAAAACTGAAACTTTACTGTTCGACTTAAATGTGAAAAGCTCGATTTAAACATTTAGAGTCATTTTAGCTTTTATAAAACCACCTCCTTAAGCAAAACAAACAAAATAGCCAGATACACCAACATAAACTATGGCAATCGCCTAAAATCAAGCAACTAAAGCAGAACAGACCAAATAGCTTCCATTCATAAAACTGGACTGGAACTTATTTAGAAAGTAAACATGAATGAAACAAACACTATCAGACTTTATCTTACTCTATCCTCTAACCTGAAAAACAAAAGACAAAAAGAAGGTGAACTGATTTCTGAGGCCATTTGTTGCAAAAAAGAGAACACAAAGCAAAAGATGTGTCAGGTACTTGAACCTCATGCTGTTCCTCCTCACAGCTCTGCTTTAGTGTGTTAGATCCTTTCCTCAGGCTTGACAACTGGGCCTGGTGACAGCTGCACACACAGCACTGGAAGCCAGAAAGGAAAACACATGAAAAGCTCAAGGCAAATATCCCTTCATACAGCACGAGGGACTGTATGAAAAAGATGATCTTTAAAAMAATAGAGAGTGGAAAGAACTCAATGGACTCTTTAGTTTTGTGATTGTAAAATTTGGATTCTTTTTCCAAACGGGAGGCATGGTATGAAAGGTTTGAGAACYATAGAATTATTTTTCTAACAATTASAGTAACCARTGAASCCAACATGCATGTTTTTTTGGTCTGTGGGAGAAAACTGCAGAAAAAACTCACAAGTGCAYGAGGACAAGATGCAAAATCTACCCAGAAAGGCTGGGAGGTGAATCTGCAATCTTGCTGTGGGGCAACACTTCTAATCACTA